TCTCCTGCTCAAGACAGGGAAAGTGCTCACCTTTAGTTTAACCAGTAGTAGTTTTGCATGTTTTTTCTCCATGTTGTACAATAGCTGTGCTCCCACAAATGCTAAGTTTCTTCAAGTCTCCAGCAAGTCAGCGTTTTGGGAGAGCTCTAGGAACACAAGAGCTATCCAGAAAGGGCACGTCAGATTTTCTTCCAGGACAACATATGACCTTGATATCCTCAAGGAAGGCAAGATCCTCAATACTGGAATATAAGGACAATTGCAAAGACACAGGAAAAAAAAATTGCGTAGTTTCCTCTGTTAAATTGTATTTTCATGGATACCCAGGAAAGTTCCCATTTAAGGGCCTGATGTGTGAAAGATTACCTATAGCTTGCAAGTCTCTTTCACACAGGATAGTTTCTACTTAGTGATACATAGACCTCTGTGAACAGCAGTAGAGGTACTTTTAGGCATAAATGCATCATTCTGCCCTTCTGTGGTTGGGCCATGTAAAGTTAGGTCATTTGAGGACCTATATTCTAACTTGTAGGGGTATTTTTAAGAGGGGAGAGATCAGATTCTAGTGGATGAATTTACTTTTCACTACGTGCAGTTTGCAGTTACTGTGTATGTGAGATCAGCAGAATGTGTCATTGTGGGATTTACGTTTTGTTTTTCATAGTCTTTGTTTCTATCCGTTTAAGCCTGTGAACATAATCTGATGGTCTTTCTAAAGTCCTTCTAAAATGACCTTTGGATGGACAATCTATTAGAAAGGCTAATATGTTAAAGGCTGAGGTATATTTTTAACTGTAAATTCCTCTGTCTGATACTGTTTAGTGGATTTTTTTTTTATTACTTCTGTAGGACCTTTCTCCCCAAGCCAAATATTTAGTTTATTATAAAGACACCAGCCCATTCTTTTTCCACCTCCTGTATCAGTCTGTCTTCTGCCAAGTCCCAATTATTGCACCTATTCACAATCCCAAGGATATTGAAGGATATCTTGTAGGATGTAGAAATCTGGATTTTAACTTATTTTTCCGTTTTGTATCTGTTTTCTCACTTGTCTGATTTGACCTGCATCATTTGTTTATTTGATATTTATTTTTTTTTTGTCTTTGATTTTTCTCAAGAGATCTTGGAGACTCTGACCTGGTTTCAGCCTGTGGTTTCTAGTGGCATATTTTGTGAGTATTGCTTAAGGATAAGGAAGCTCCCAAAAGGAACAAGAAAAATAAAATGCACAGGATTTACGGACAGTGGCGCAGTGAATAAAAGAGTGTTCCAGGCACAGGAGCTTAACAGTCAGCTAGGGCTGGAATTCCCTGAAAAAATGTAATTGCAAACTGCGGATGTGATGCCTGACTTGCAGTGTCCCTTTGCAGAAGTTATTTAAAAGTTAAGATTTTTCATTTTTGAGAAAAACTGTGAACTCCTAGAATACACTATTTCACAGATTTAATATATATTTTAATCTTATGTAAGCCAGGGAATTGGGAATTTTTAAAAAACTATTAGGAGATATGTCAATACCAGAACTGTTTTCCTTTGTTTCTGCTGAAAGAAGAAGTGAAATTTAACATACTGTGTTTTCCAGATATGGTTTAAAATAGGGCAGGAAAAAAAAGACAATCCTGTAAAGATATCATCCAATCTAGTTTTAATTACAATAGAAGTTTTGCAGAAGAGCATTATTGAACTATTAAAACCAGTTTGTGTAAACTTAACAGCTGAAATCCAGGCAACAACTGGAAGACGTGGGACTGCATGTATACTTTGGACAAACTACCTTTTCGTTTTTTTCAGACTTGCAGTAATATTCCAGTATACATGGGAACCTGATGTTCAAATCAGCATAAAATATAGTTACTATATTTTCCTTTGAGAGTGTGAAGAAAGGATTTTGTGGCATTCCTTATTCTTTGGAATATAATAACTGGAATGTAGTAGTTACATCTGATTTTTGTGTGCACTTATAAACATTTTGTTAGAGATACTTAACAGCGTTCTCAGTCATTTAGGAAGTTTGTAGTTACTAAAATAGAATAAACCACCTTCGTTTTTTGTATGTTTGGCAGATTTGAAGATGTTATGCCAAGTATGTTCCTAGACGTTGTTATCTTAATTTTTTGTTTTGAATAGCCTAAACAGTTACTTTAACTGTTAGGCATGCCTTGGACCCTGCAGAGTGTAGCACCACTAGCAGTTGCCAAACGTCCAACTTTCAGGCTTGGGCTCCTTGATTTATCAGGTGGCAGAATGCATTCCGATCGGTTGTTCTTGGTTAAAGATAAGTAGCCAGAACAGCGTTCAACATGATTGCACTGTAAAGCAGAAGTGGTTTTATGTGAGTGGTTCATTCTTCTCATTAAAAGAGGGATTTGATTATTGTCACCCAGAGGAGGTAGCAGTTAATTTGCTAGAACAAACTTAATTTTTTGTTTATTAATAATTTTTTTTGTTTGAATTATTGAAAGAACTCTTAAATTAGTTTAAATACCCTCACAAAATGAAAGTCAGTGCTGATGCAATGTAGACATACAATACCTACCTTTGTGGTAAGGTATATGAAATGAGCATCCCTATAATGTTTCAGTAAGTGGATTGGAATACAAAATAAGCAACCTTTCAGTGATTAAGATGAGAATGACCAAAGTGCTGTTTCCCCTTCTAACAATGGATGGTTTCTATGAAAGCCTTTGATTCCCATAAGTAGTACATCTTTTGTTGTGAGTGATGCTAGTATGAATCTTGGAAGCTGTTTATTTCCTTTTCACAAATCAGTTTTTATGGAATGTGCATAGACGGCAAGTACAGGCAGTGGCTGTTGAGCAGTTTTTTATATCCTGAGAATAGCGAATGCCGATTTATAGTGCAGGGAATGAAGTACGAAAAACTTAATTCATATTGTAATTATGCCTTTGTCTGGGTGCTTTATAGTGTCAATTGAATAATAAACTCCTTTTCATAATCACAGCTTCACTTGGGAGCTTTGAGTTACACCTGCTACTCAGCTTGTAAACCACTGAGTCTGTGAAAGTGTCTCTTAATGCCCTGTGGGCTATACCTTTCACAATGTCATGTGTAGCTATTTGTAAACCTTTACTTTTATCTTGTGGTGGGTTGACTCTGGCTGGATGCCAGGTGCCCACCAAGCTGTTCTATTACTCCCCTTCTCAGGAGGATGGGGGTGGAGAAAATAAGATGGAAAAAAGCTTGTGGGTCAAAGTAAAGGCGGTTTAGTAAAGCAAAAGCAAAGGCCACATGTGAAAGCAAAACAAAAGATTTATTCTCTACTTCCCGTCAGCAGGTGATGCCAAGCTACTTCCCAGGAAGCAGGGCTTTAGTATGCATAGTGGTTGCTCTGGAAGACAAATGTCATAAATAACCAATACCCCTTCCTCTTTCTCTTAGCTTTTATTGCTGAGCAGACATCATATGGTACAGAATTTCCCTTTGGCCGGTTTGAGTCAGCTGTCCTGGCTACGTCTGCTCCCAAGATCTTGCCCACCCCCAACCTACTGGTCTTTGGAAGGGGATTGTTGGAGAGACATCCTTGGTGCTGTGTGAGCACTGGTCAGCAGCAGCCAAAACAGTGGTGTCTTATCAACACCTTTCTAGCTACCAGTACAAAACACAGCACCATGAGGGCTGCTGTAGAGAAAATGAACTCTGTCGCAGCCAGACCCAATACATACCTTTTCAGACTTGGCATGGCCCACAGTCCCACAAGTATTTTTTTCTCAGATGCATATGTGATTTCCATGCTAATACTCAAGTTCCTCTTCAAACATCTGTGACTATCGAAAATATGCGTATGTTGTGAATGTGAAAACAGAGGGCATGAGTCTTCTGCTGGCTTATCTCTGTCTATATGTATGTGTGGAAAGGGAAATAAATGATGCAGTTGTTTTGGGAATCAGAGCTGGTTTTAGTGGCAAGAAGTAAAGCTAGAAGAAGGATAGGTTTGACTAAACCAAAGATAATGAAAGTTTCAGTTTTATCAGAGAAATAAAGCTGATAGAACGGCAGAACTAACTATCGTAGAGGAAATCAGCCTGGTGCTATAGAGACTTTCTGAGGCAAGCATGGTGAAAAAGGGAAGGAATTATCACAGATGGATAAGGGAAGCGATATAGTGTAGAATATAAAGTATGCTTAAAAATTGTTTTAAAATCAGACTTCAGCAACAGAAAATTGTAACAAATGTTGGGCATCAAAATGACAGATTACGTCTGTTTAAGGAAACTTAAGTGGCACCAGACAAATGAGCATTTTAAGTGTAATGATTCAAATGACCTTTGTAGAACCTTGCCATCACTTGAGTACTTTCAGTACATTTCTTTCTCTGTGAATTAACTATTTTAGTATTTGTGTTAGTGTGACTTGTTAGATGTTTTAAAATGTGGTTGCCTTCAATCTGTATGTTGCTATTAAATTACATTGACTGTGTTATGGCTGCCATTGAGGTGGCAGTTATGAAGACCCGTGACAGCTGGGGATAATGACAGAAGACAGAGTGGGAAGCCAGTCCATGATCTTAATAAACCACATGGATAACATCTTCTATAATGAATTTCTAGATTTTTTCATTAATTTTGTTAATTTGTATTTGAAAAGACTTTGTGTAATGATGATGGATTGACTAAATCACAATAGAAGATTGTTAGATATTGGTGATTAAGAATCAGAGAGAATTTTAATGTTTTCTGAAGAGGAAAAACAGGAAATATTTTCCTGTTTTTGTTCTTTATTAAGATAGTCTCATATTTGTAAAACAATTATTCCTTGTATTTTTACGGCTGTATCCATGAAAATAAAAATCTGGAATCAGTCTCTTGTTTCTGATTTCCCCCTGCTTTCTCCTCCTCATGTTATGGCTGATGTGAGGGAAACCTTTCTTACTTTTATATATATTGGAGTATTGAGTTTTTTGTTTGGCTGGGTGTTTTGTGTTCATTTTTTTTTTTTGTATACCGCTGTTTTCATAGAGGTGAACTTTCTTTTTTTTCCAGAACCCTGTCAAGAAAATTCCAGATTCTCATGAAATTACACTCCAACATGGGACAAAAACAGTAAGTGATAACACATGTTCAACACTTCTTGTTTTTCTAGAACTAAACCAGTCTGAAATAAGTTAACAAATACTTATTGTAAGCCAAAGTTCAAGAAGCTAGGTTTTTTTCTTCTTAAATTCATTAGTTTAGTCTAGCTCTTTTCTTACTGCAATTGAAAGTGTGTCTGAAACGTTACTCTGACTCAATTGTCTCATTTTCTTCTTTCTTCTTGTCAGATATACTCTGCAGTTGTTAGAGTTCCTTTGTAGGCTATACCTTCCTAATCTATACACAGGTCTAATCTAGACCTTTCTTTGACTGGTCATGGATTTCAAAGAGAATGTTGTTGCTGAAATTTCTGTGACTTCTTTGTAGCTGAATGCAGGTCTCCTTCATTCTCCTTGAATCTTTAAGTGCCTTTTATACAGCATTCTCAATTTCTTGAAACCTTATTCTTCCTTGTCTTTGACTGCATCTTTTCTACGTTTCACCTCCAATATTGCTCCTTCACTTTCTTTTAAAGAACCACTGTCTGACTTGGAACTATCGTTTCTTTGTTCCTCAGTATTTTTTTCTCTGGATAATCTCGTCTTCCAACACAAATTCAGCTGCTTTTATGTGCTGATTCATCAAATATCTATTTTTATAGAACTGAATTTATATTCTGGCCATGAATAGCACTGAAACTATTCCCAAATCCTTTCCTCGTACTATCCTTTGGTTCTTAAAAAAGGTGCTGCTGCTGTATATCCTCTTCAGTTTGGGCCATGATTTAGCTTCAATGAGAAAATAATACTAGAATTTATTTTAATGTTATTATATCCCTGTGAAAGCACTATCAGCTAGTCAATAGAATTCTCACTCATAGCATTCCTGAGAATTTCTTTGGAGAGGAGGAAAAAAAAGAAAAGAAAGAAAATCAAAAAAAAAAAATTGAGAAGAAGGCTTTTTGATGAGCTTTTACACAATCTAAGGAAATGTATAATTTTCCTAGATTGTATTTTTAAGAAAACTTGTGGATTCATTTTCTTTTTATGTAATTAATATAAGCATACACTTAATAATTTAACATTCAACAATATTAAATAATTATTTTAAATAATATACTTATTAAATTAACATGTATATCAAAACATTAAGCATTAATAATTTATGAGTTTAAGATTTGAATTTTTAATATTTCTTAATATTTCTCAGATGTTTAAAAGGAATTTTCTAGGGGTTTCAACTTAAGAGTAGACATCATAAATGTTGTTTTACAAGTTTTCAGAAATAGTTATTTTCAGAAGTGTCTGTTCATTAGCCTGGCATCAAACTTTGTGATCTGTCTTGGAGTGTGGAGAGGTGATAAGGCTTACCTGTTTTATCATAGTGCTAGACATACAGATGTAGAGGGACGAGAGGAAAGAAGTAACAAGTGCATTATAAATGAAAACGGAAAATTTTTAAGACCTGTAAAAGATGTATTATATTACACTAAACAAAAATAGAGTGGATTTTTATGCAGGCAGTGCATGTAACTTCTTTGCATGCTAATTTCTATGCATACTAGGATTTGCATACTAGTGTACTAGTGCAAACCAGTTTCCCATTTTACATGTGACAGTAATTGCTTCTGCAGTATGTTTCTTGAATACATTTTCTAACAGACTTTATTATGTAAAATTTTTTGAATTATTTTTTCCCTGTATTAAACCAGTAAATCTTTTGATGGCTTCTTAAAGCATAAGCTCATGTTATTTCTAACTAAAGGCTTTGCAAAGTGGAAGTTACAGTTTTGGAAGACTTCTGAGGTATTTTGACTGCATGAGAATGCAGCTGTCATCACCTAGAACAGAGGTGAATTGTAACGTGGATATATGTAGCACAGTTGGATTAGACTGGATGCAGTGAATGAAACAAGTCTCTGAAAAAAAACAACTCTTCTGCAGAAGGACTATTCTTTTGTTTTATTCCTTTGTTTTAGGATAATGAAACTACTTACCCATGTCATTACACACGCATAAGGATGCGAGCAAATTCTTATCTTGATATCAGTGTTTCACCCCAATGTTTTAAAATACAGTATTCTCATTATGTTCATACATACAATGCACTGTATTTCAGCTAAACTTACATATCCCATCTGTACCTCTTCAATCTAATGAATGTGGGTTTGATGATGACTCTATTCCTGTGCAGCTGAAAAGTCTGAGAAAAGATTTCCCATGCTAGAGAATCTTTGCAGAAACCTGATTAATTTCCTGGTTGCCTTGCTTGTATGGTGTAATAGGAGTTACTGTTCCCAATGAAACTTCAGGGATATATAATTTTTTTTTCTCCTGACACTTTTGATATATAGGTGCATATGAGAAAGAATACATAATCAGAGTTATTCTGAACAGTGTGCTTTCTAATGTTTCATATCACAGCTGCTCCTTCCTATAGTAGTTATTCTACGTAGAGTGGAACACTTGAGTGTATTGAGTGCATGATTAATCTGGAGGTGCCTGTTTTTTCTGAATGTTAGAAATCATGAGTGAAATGAATGGGGTTCAAAATTTGCATTTAAATGGTAAAAAGGGCCTTTTTTTTTTTTGAAACATGTAAGCGGTTGCGTCTGTTTCATTTGAAAATTAAATATGTCACAGTGGCATAATCACTGTGTGGAGTTTAGTTCATTCTTAGGGATAACATAAAGCAGTACATTTAAACATTTGATTCAGGGAAGTAAAAATAAAATCTATTGAATCTATTAGTTACTCTGTAAATTAGATCTTTTGGGGGGCACTGCATGAGGGCATCTGATGATCCTCTGCATTCTTCAGAAGAATGAGGTTTTAGACGTCCTCTAAGAGATAAGATTTCTGCAAGTGAATGCATCTAAAATAAATCAGGACAATTAGATTAAGGAGGAGTCAGTTGCCTGGTGAACAGCAGCATCATTCCTGCAACATCTTGATTTTCTTGAAAGTACTTTTTTCAAACTGTTTGCTATATGATGGCACTGCGTGTTTGAAATGCAGTGAGGTACCGACATGAGGAGTAGTGTGAGCCTTAAGAAGATGACTAGAAATGTGTCTTTGATAAAATACGGAATACTTAAGTGAACCTTTTCTATGTGGAACTGAAAAAAGAAAACTCAAAAGAAGCCAATCCTTTTTCATATAAGCAAACCTTAATTTTACCAAAACAAATTGTCTGTCCTAAAGAATAAATTCTGTTTATAACTGGTGTTTTTAATGAAACATTTATTTTCTGTAGATTACTTATTCCCTTTTCCATGCATAGTTGAAAATCTCATGCTAAATTCCATTTTTTAAACTGTTCTGTGTGTGAACCATTCCAACAGTTTACGTAAGTTTTAGAAGTCTCCATAAAACAGTATATATACTAAAGCTTTTTTAAAAGTATGGTAGTAGATTGATGTATCTTTCACACAAGTTTTTTTTGGTGATACTTCTATGTGTCTGCATTAATTCCTAGTGACTGTCAGTACTTTTCATGTATACATGTAAAGAAGATACATACAGATGAGCATCCTTATATGCAAATTATTGTAATTTTTATACATCAGTATCTGGAATTTTTAATACAGGTTTATGCATCTGAAAGTAATTGGCCTGATTTCCCCCCACCCCCAAAGAAGTTCAGTGTTGCTAACCTATAGCTGTGACACTATTCTCAGGTGTTATCTTTCACTCAGAAATTAAAACTTTCCCTTTTTTTATTGTGTATACAGGATTTGTTTACTTGTTTGCCACACAGTTTTCTGTAAGTCTGAATGTTCTTGTTGGAGTATAAGATTACTTTTGTTTCCTTCAGAATTTTCTGGTTCATCTCTTCAAATCCCTTTCCAGGCATTTTCTAGAACTCTATAATAATAATAATTATTATTATTATTATCATCACTTTGTTTTCTTGTGTTGAAGACTTGTCTTCCTTGTTGTGAAAAGGCTTCTGAATCTGATGATTACCTATCTTATGTACGTGGGATGATCCACGTTTTTGTCCAATGTTTAAAAGTCATCATCTGACTAGGTTTTACTTGTGATCTGCCTAACGAGAAATGCCTAATAGAGGTTAAACTGTGTTGTAGGGATTAAAAACCTAAGAATGAATTCTGTATGAGTTTTACCTTCTCATGAAATCGTTTTCAGTCATTTAAACATTTCAGGTTGCGTGTAATTTTGAGTAAATCTGAAGACACACTTGTTTTATACTTTTTGACGTTGCTTTCCAATACTGTCTCATGTAAGTGGCTTAATTTTGGAGAGTTAATCTCTTTACTTGACTTAAAAATTAACTTACTGCATTGTCTAGCTTATCTCTTATTAATACTTGAGATCATGGTAGTAAAGAATATTTTCACAAATGAGGGAAAAAAAAAAGGAAACATTTTGAAGGTCAATGAAAGGATATTTAGTCAATGACATGCTTTCTGTAACTCTCACTTCTCCATATGGTGATTTGAACACTACTATAATAAACTTATTCAAATATGAAATAGGATTTTTACTAAAAAAATCCCATTTTAATCAACCTTTTATTTGAGGATAACAAATTAGCGTAATGACCATTAAGCATTCTTTTCTCTAAGTTCTGAGTAGCTTTAAGCAGGTAGTTTTGTAGATAAAACAAATGTGGTTTTGGTAAGTTTTTTGAGCTCTTTTAGTTAAAATAGTATATGTTTTTAAACTTGTGTTTTGTTTTTAAATCAAGTTTATACTCTATTTTCTCTTTTTTTCAAAGCAGAAATTTAACCAAACAACATATATACAAACATGAATTGGCTTGAATAAACTAGTGCAAAATCTTAAAGTGACAGATGTTAAATGCTGTTTCAGTATCTTGCTAGAAATCTTATTTGTACTTCTGAGAAAAGTTTAGAGTACATCTCATTTCTATGAAGAAAATTGTATCCACATTTTACAATGAGGTTATTAGAAAGCAAACACTGTACACTAACTTTTCTGAGCTGTCTTCAGTGGTTTGTTCATATTATGTAATTTGCACTTCTGTTCTCGCTACCTCTTCCAAAGTACTCAGACGTTATACAAGGTAGTGAGAATTCAAAACCAAAATATAGCTGATGTATTTTAGGAAGAAACTAGCACACGGAAATTTTTTTTTTTACTTTAGTAGTATTTTATATTTTGGTGACACTTGAAGAACTGTAGAAAAAAAAAAATGAAAACCTTGAATGGTCTTAAATTTTTTTTTTCTGTGTAGGTTTCTGCTTTGGCGTTGGATCCTTCAGGTGCCCGTTTGATAACTGGTGGATATGACTATGATGTTAAATTTTGGGATTTTGCTGGAATGGATGCCTCTCTCCAAGCTTTTAGGTCACTCCAGCCTTGTGAATGGTAGGCTTGAAGACTGCCTTTTTTACCTAAGTCTGTGCTTATGTTAAGCTTTTAGTAGAATATACAAAAGCCTTGTAAGCTGGCATGTTTAAAAGGCTTTTTTATCCGTTGTACTTTGTGGTAAATGGAGTGTGAACCTGAGAACTTGTCTACTTAAGTCTTTTCATGCTTTTTCCAGTGACTTGCATATTTTCCCCATTTAGAAAGCTAAAGGTGAATTTGCAGATGAAATTGTTAATAGTGTATCAACAAACAGATTATGAACCTCTCAAAGAGACAGGTTGACTTTGATAGTTGTAATTGAAATCAGTAGAATACACTTAGCGTATATACTCTGCTTATATAAAATTGATCAAGAAGAGAAGAAAGTTAAAACAGTTGACCCCTTTCTGGAGAGCCTCTATAGTTCCTGCCAATATTTTTGAGTGTGGGGGTATCTAATTTTCATTAAATCCTCTGTTTCTGGAAGTAATGGTCCTTTGTGTTGCACTGATAATTGAATAGCTACATAGTGTATGTTAAAAAAAAAAAAAGTAAATCTAATGTCTTATTTTAAGAAAGCAGGCTATATATTTATTTACATTTATCTATGTAGTTACATATATATAAATTAAAAAAAAACAAACAACAACAACAGGAAGCATTTTTTAGAGAGTGATTTCCATACTGTTCATACTGTTCATACTGTTCACTGGTCGTTCAACAAGTAAATGAGCTGAGTTTATTTACTTGTTCCAGAGAACTGGCATACGGAATTCCATCAAAAGGAGTGCATGTCTCATGTGCAGTGAACTTTCAGATAAACACGTTCATAATTTAATAAGACAGTTGTTCTAGCAAGGTACTTTCTAATGTCTGTCTAATGTGGTGCATGCAGTGTGAGAAACATTCACCTATGTAGTTCTTGAGAGGACAAAGTCTGTGAAGCAAAGCTTTATTTCAGTGCTGAGTTCACGGGAGATCATGTCCGCGATCCTCCTGCGTGCACACTGGTCGGTCTCACTTCCACATATTTATTTAGGGCAGTCATTCATATTCATGTCATTTCTCAGAAGTGTTACACATATTCAAATGATTTCCCCAAAGTTATTTACATCTATGCCCTCCCACTTGCATCTGTGCACTGTTCTCTGGGGGTCTTCTTTGAGGGTTGTGGGGTGAAGGCTCAAAGTCTTCCTCTCTGTTGAACTCCTTATTCTGGTGCCTGTACTGTATTGTTGTGGTTATAGTGCAAACCCCAGTTGACAGTTAATCCTCTCTTTCTTCTATATAAGGACAGGAAGGCAACAACCAGGTAGAGACTAGTCATGGCTAAGATAAGTGGTGTCAGCCAAAGCAACTTAACCCTACACCTGAATACACATTACCCTGTGTCTGTCCCCATACTTGAGTACCTGGAAACTTACATTCTTTCTGACTGCCTATCTGTTATGGCTTAAGCAAAACTACAATATTATTTATCACATGCAGTTTATAAGATATTTTGCTATGCTTAATAAAGGGATTGAAATTTATTATGTGCAGTAAGTAGTCCTTAGAATGTCTATTTTTAATCATTATTGTCTTAAAAAGCTACAGCTGAATTTTGGTCAGTTTGGAAGCTTAGAATGTGTATGACTAATTATAGATGTGCCAAGAATCTAGATAATGAAAGACAAGAAAAAGTTGGGGTTGATAGCCTAAAAAAGAGGAAAATAAACTGAAAAATCAGGAAAATAAAAAGAGTACTTTGATTCGTGATGCAATTCTAATCTCTTTGATGGGCTAATCTTGTAACAATAAATGAATGAATGGCCCATTTACTTTGAAAACATGACTTAGTAAATGTGCCTCTTATAAATAAATAAAATTCTCCATACATGGTTTGAGTATGTTGAAGTATAAATGAAATACATAAAAATAAAAGCTTAATTTTAAAAATAGAATTAACTGCTGGAAAGGTTGGGGATTTCACTTATGTTGCATGCCTTATGTAATAATATTGGGGTTTAAAAAATATATTATTGTCCTGGTTTCGACTGGGATAGAGT